TTTATGTTTATGATCGCCGAATTGACATGAAAGCACTGACAAATATGAATATACTGTAGTCAACTTCATTAAAACGTTATTAACGTGCCTAAACTCAGTAATTCACAATTTTTACGCATGACAACACACTTTGTCCGTGTTTGGCTCTCTCGCCGCACAGTGAAGCGTTCCCGCATTGACGTCACTTCCGGCTTCCCCCAAAACTTCAAAATGAGTCGAAGGAATTTCCCCGCGATGTTCGAAATTATTGATATTTAACGGAACGGTATCGCACCATCTTTTTTAAACTGACGGTTCGAGATTACTAGTTGTTAACAGTTGTTGGGATGCTGTCACAGGCTCTTTAAGGGGAGACACTAAAGGTGAATATAGTAAAATGTGTATCTAATAACGTCATCACAATTGTCACATTGATATGCCAATAAGGCATTAACTAGGCCTAATTAAAATTGCATGCAGTTACCAAGGCATTGCAGGTGAAAAGGATAAAACTAAAACAAACATAAAAACATATCACCTCACAACTTCCCCAGATAGTTACTTACGTCTAGGGTTGGGTATCGTTTGAATTTCCACGATTCTGATTCCGATTCTACTTTTCGATTCCGGTTCTTAACTGTTCTCAATTCCGATTCTTTGAGGGGCAGGGTAAAAAAATGATACATGCTTCTTCCACCAAAAAAAATTACATTTATTCGAGAAACTTTTACACAGGTTAGTTTAAAGTAATATTCACATTAATCAGTCATTACATTCACTGCTATGTAACCTGAGAACCACTGAAGCTACATCAGTACAACAGTCCAACTTTTAAAGGAAACCCCCCTCCCCATTTAAAAACAGTTCTTGTTGAGAAAAACAAGCATATCTGCATTCTCAGGCATACCGGGAAGAAATGTTTGAACATTTTGAAGTAAAATGCTTCAATCTGGTGCACTTTAAGCAGAATTACTAGAGACTAGATCTAGGGGGTACAACTCTAAACACCCATATGACAAAGATCGGTTTACATTTTAATAATTAAATAATTATGTGCACATAACCAATATAACCTACCATAGCCAATAACAAATACATGTAACGTATTTTATTTTTGTTGTTCATTCATATCTTATTTTACTTTTTTATTTATGCATATTTTTGTATCTCCAGTTTAAAACGATATGTCTGGTTTACTGTCCTATAGTATACATTGGAATTATTTCAAACCTGTTTTATCCCAATAATTATAAAAGGAGTGCCTTGGAAATATGTGTTTACATAAATTGTGATCAAAACGTTTGAGACCCACTGAGATAACTGTGCATTCACACCTAATAGTCCACTCTCTGGTGCGCACCAGACCACAGTTTGTTGCATTGTTTCATTCTTCAGAAGGTTCGGTTTGCGTTCACACGGGCAAAACTCAAACGGACTATAAACTTTAAACACAAGTCATGTGCACGGAAATGCTGTTCAACCATTGGTCAGACATTAAGGGGGTAAAATTGCAAATCCCGGCAATTTCTACCGGAGCCTCCGGCATGGAGCATCGGCAGGTTATTCTCATGCTGCTGTTAATCTGGAGATCAACAGACTCTAGCGGCCCGCGCATATGATTATATAATCAGACAACGTCCGTTAAAAAACATTATAACACATAATGAGACGTTCTGCAGTAAGGAGGGGCGTTTCACCGACGACAGGTGTTCTTACTTTTATGTAGCTGACGGAGAATTTTTACTTTACACGACACTGTTCAACACTTCATTCTGCTTCGCTCTTTAACTAGACAACCGCGGATGTCTTGAAAGACTCTTTCGCTAAAGATTTTGAAGATATCCGCGTTCTTGTGACACGTAAATACTACGCTTCCTATGTTTTGGTGCGGACTGCGTTCACACCAGCAATGAACCGCTCCAGAGTTCGCAAGCAAGCGCTCGGAGACCACCTATTTTAGCGGACCAGAGTACGGTTGTTTAGTTCACTTAAGAGGTCTCGGATTGTGTTCACACCGACCCAAATGAACCGCACCAAGCGGCTAAACGCACCAGGGTTCGATTCAACCGGACTATACAGGTGTGAACGCACCCTAAAGTGAACTATCTAAACACTGAGTCCTTTACCTCACTGACTGAGCTGTAGTTATCAGCCTCTGAGTCTGACTGGAAAGGACTCCCTCCACATCATTGTAGAAACATCTTCTTCTTATATCCGTTAGAGCAGCTAGCACCAGATTCTAATAACAACTGCGCCAGTACCGGTGCACCCTCCCTCTCTCCCTCGCTCGCTCCCACGCTCTCACTTTGGCTGTGAGCTGCGGGTGCCAGATAAGCCAACATCCCCCATTTTCATCACTTACAGCGCCCATCGTACAGGGCAAATGAAAAGTGTAACCCGGAAGAAAAGGGTGTTACATTTACTTAATTATGAATGTTGTTACATCAAGGCCGAAAATTAGGGTGAGAACCAACGGTCAAAAATGTTTTTTTCCCTCCCAGAGCTGACAGCGCAGCGCCTCCTCAGATCTGGCGCCCTAGGCGAACATCTATAACGCCAGTGCGACGGGCCGGCCCTGGTCCCAGGTTACGCTGTAGGAAGTGTAGGTACAACGCTACATTTCCCGCCCCGCCGCAGTCATACATCAGGCTACGGAGAGTGGCGAGAAACATTTCCTCAGGCATCGAAAAGCGGAACCGAAATTCACATTTCGAAATGATGCCGTTGGAATCGAAATGTTGGAATGTCCGAACCGGAACCGGTTCTCGGTACCCAACCCTACTTACGTCAAGTCAGTATTTTCCAGTGAAATGTTATGTTTAAATGTGCAGATTAGCTTTATATCCAGGGCAGTCCCTACCTACAGGCCGATCATGCAGACTGCGTGGGGCCTCACCTTGCGGAGGGGGCCTCATCTTGCGGAGGGTGCCTCAACTGAGCCAAAAATGCGGCGCACCTATGCGCTTATGCGGCACAATTAGTGTGGCGCGGCACGGTTTCGCCGCTGCGAAGTCCCCCCCCCCGCCGACGCTCGCGAAACAGAGGGCCTCATCATATAACTTTGCGTGGGGCCTCATGTTGGCTAGGGACGGCCCTGTTTATATCTATAGATGAATTCAGACATGGTAGTAAAACGAACAAAATGTTATGTGTTTTTTGGAAGTTTTCTTTCCATTGAAAGAAAACATGGAAGTAAAATAGACCAAAATAACAATGTATAGTACATGAAAAAACGATCTTTTAGCCTGTAATGCCTTAAACAGTAACTTCATCATTTTGATTGATGGCTGCTCATTTAATAACTATTAATTGTGAAATACTAAAGAAGGTCATTGTCTCCGTGTTAACTGATTATTTTGTAGAATTCTGCTGAGTATTAAACAATTGCGTGAGTGTGAGGGTATTAAAATAAATTGGTCAGTAAGTCAGAGATATGCAACTATTTAACTTTTTGTTTTACATTTTTCTTTTTTTTATATAAATGATTATGGGAAGTGTCCTTTTTTTCACTTGAGCTCCCGCCCCCCAAAATGTCCCTGCTTGTCAGCATAGGTCGGCATTGATGTACAGAGCCGACAAAAGACCTTGTTTATATTGGCATCATATTGAAGCCAACTCCATCGATCAAGCCAGTGTGGCAGAAACGTTCTCTCCCTCTTCTTCCCATACTCCCTGTCACTCTCCTTTAACTCCTCCGGTGACTTCCTTTTATTTGAAGATTGTTTTTTGCCCTGCGCTTGGCCGGTTACCGCTGGTATTAAAAACATTTTGGCGAATGGCGAGAAAGTGTAGTGAACGAGCGCGCTCCCGCACGGGAGCCTGCTCGCGCTGCGCTCCGCAGCAAACAGTTGTATGCTTTTCACCCAACAACGACAACCGCCTCACAAAACGCTATGTTGTAGCGTTAATAAATGAAACAATTTAACAAAATTGCTTGTCAAAATACCAATACCACAGGACCATTCTTTTTTTTAAAGCAATATTTTTTGTGGCAAGTGGAAAGTACGTTATGCTGGCCCGGGGTGTCTAAATAGTGCTTCCGGGCCAGCAGGCCATTTATAATGTCAAGCCCTGACATAGCCCTGACCACATGTATGTGGTCTGTTGACTAATATACTCTCACACCAAACGCAAACAGTGCCATCCCCCAACTGGACAAGCCCATATAAATGTAATTGTTTAGTCAAACATTTTTTTCTCGACAGCCCTAATACACACACACACACACACACACATACACACACACACACACACACACACACCATTTTTCTCGTTGTCTTAGTTGCTTAATCTCAAACAAATCATGGCTTCCCCAGGCTCTGAGCATTATGCCCACACCTTTGAATGGTGTGACACTAATGTTCCTCTTCCACCCAGCAGGAATCCTGAATGCCGCTCTCTCTTGTCACACTATGTTTGCCAGTCAGTATGCATTTATTATCCAGCAGCATCTTGTTGCTGTGTCTTGTGCTGCAAGGACGAAGCCACAGTGCAGTTCCAGTGATCTGGTTGGCTCACTATCCGATAACCATAAATGTTCCTGACCATTTGGACTGAGGAGTAGTGTCAGCTGAAGAGTAGTTCAGGAATACACAGATTCTTATAGCGGATCCATTGCTGAACAATAGATTGAATTGGTTATTTGTGACAATGGGCATGTCTGGTTTTGGATAGAATCAACAAAAAACTATTCAGTTAATTTGTATCAGTCTTTTTTTATTAATAATGTCAGGAAAGCAATGTTTAAGGCTAGTCTGATGTTGCCTCCGACTTTAAAGAGGCACACAGCAAGTTATAGAGCTTAAGATCATGTGTGTTAAATTGTGGGTTGAGCTGCCAGTGAACACATGGAAAAGGTACAGATAATTTGCATGTTATGCTTGTGCAGGATTATTTGAAGGAACATAAATGTGGTGTTGCTCAAAAGAGTGAATGTTCCTGACTCATTTACAAAGTATTCCAGTGTAGCACTTAATAATATGATCTGATCAAAATAAACGTATCTCTTTCTTCTATCATAGATCTGGGGTCACTATCCTGGGATGATTTGGAGAATGACCTTCCCGATGAGTTGATCCCTAATGGAGGAGATCTGGGCCCGATGGGTGGGATGCCTTCAAATGTTGGAGCAGCACCTGGCCCCGGTGGAGCTTCTGGTGTACCGGACGCAGCCGCCAAGCACAAGCAGCTCTCAGAGCTCCTTCGAGCAGGAAGCAGTATCGGGGCCGCAGGGCTGAATTCAGCTAGCCCTCAAACAGGCGTTTTGGGTCCTCAGCTGGGGACACCAATGAGAAAGAGCCCCATTGGACAGGGTTCCCCCAACAACCACCCCTCTCCCCAGGCCCAAAAAGCAGGAACCCCAACAGGAGTAGGAGGACAGAATAACAACAATAGTCCTGCAACAATGGGCTTCAACCAGACCATGATCAACAATAACCAGGGTCACGCCGGGCTCATGGCCCAGGGCGGGCAGTCCCAACCTGGGCAGGTGATGAATGGGGGTCTCGTGCCTGACGCTGGGAGAGGACGGGGGGCAGGGGTAGCAGGCATGCAGTACCAGGTACAGAAAATGCAGGGAGCGGCTCCAGGACCAGGAGGAGCTGGAAGTGCGTTGGCAGAAACACTCACCCAGGGAGCACAGCCGATGGGGGCCCACCCCACGCTCAGTGCAGCCCAACAGGCGGCCAACATGAACAAGGTGAGTCGCATACTCTTTTACATACCTTTGTCAAAGACAACCTCTACAATTTGCTCTGGCTAAAGGATGTGTTCTCTGGTCCCGGTCACTGCTAACTCTGAACAGGATGTAGAACGCTGTGTGCTTCCTGTGATCATTCATGGTGTCACCACATTTGGAGAAAAGGGCTTGTTGCTCTGCCTTTGACAGCTCTAGTCTTAAGGCAAACTGTCAAATCTAGGGTCATGCCAAATCGTCAACAATCTACCAAGCAATCTAGGGCTGTGCAATTAATCGTATTTTAATCGCAATTACGATTTTGGCCTGCCACAATTACGAAAACAACATAATCGAAAGAAACGATTATTTTGCTTTGCTAGGTTATGACCTATATTTGATCTAATTTATTTTAGTGTAATTTATTTGTATTTATCATATTTATATATGTTTAGTAGCTTGTGGAAGTGCGCTCCAAAATATTTGTTGATCTTGTTTATTGGTATTTATTATTTTTATATTATTTATTTAAATGTAGATATACATGTATCATTTATTTATTTTTGTATTGGTTTTTCAGTTGAATTATACATTCAGGGTAATCAACAGTTAAAAAGATACTGTTCAAATTATTATTTCTATTTGTTTTAAAGTTCAATAAATGGACGTTTTCAAAGTCAATGAATAATCGTATTTAATAATCGTGATATCAATTATTGATAAAAATAATCGTGATTATGATTTTTGCCATAATCAAGCAGCCCTAAAGCAGCCTCAGTTCTAATATTGAAGAGTGGTACTGCCTGCATACAGTGGTTCACACTTTTAATGCATTCGTGAGTATGAGATAATTGCTAGTACTCAACTTAATGTAGCTGTTAATTGGCTGCTTAATGAGAGTGGAGATGGTTAACGAGAGTGGAGATGCTCCATAACTGGCCATAACACCACTCACGCTTTGTCTCAAATGACTCGGCCCACACTTCAAATTGCTCTTTTCCTGGCATGTGTGGTGTGTGCATCTGTTTCTGCACACTCTGCTGGTCGCTCTGTCAATTCATCTGCACAGTCTGCTATCTCTCTCCGCTCATTTTACGTGCTGTAATTGTTCAGAAATGAAATGTACACTCCACACTTGGCAGCTCTACTCTCTTGTTTGGCGAGCAGTGAATATTGACACTGCTGTCGGCTTCTCACTCACTATATTAGTCTTGGGACTCTAAATAATGTGTGTGAGAAAGAGAGGTCATAGTGTCTCTGGCTGCTCATACGTAAGCCTGCCACCAGTGTGGTTACACAGGAAATCAATAGGAAGCCATCTATTTCACCGTCTGCATGTCAGAGCCAAGACACTGATGCTGAGCGTAACCACAACTAGGGCTGTAGCGATACACTAATCATACGATACGATACACGATATTCAGCCAACGATACGATATATATCACGATATTCAGCCAACGATACGATTCGATACGATTCGATATAATTCGATACACTTATATCATTTTCTGAAAGATTTTAAAGGGACAGTGTGATTTTGGTGACATCTTGTGAGTGACTTGACTTGGATTGAATTAATTCAACTGAAAACTGAAAGCATCAATTATACAATATATGGCTCTGACAGAGAGTCTACAGCTTTCAAATGCTGGACAAAATGAATCAAAAGATGTGGTGAGAAAATTAGTTTCATTTATTGAAACAGTGCAAACTGTAGCTTACAAGCCTTTGAAACATTAGTACATAAAGTGCAGTATCACAATGGAGAATTAAAAGGTGCAGCAGGTGGCGGAACACGGGGGATTTGAATGGGACTTGTTAGAAATTAAAATCAATGTTTTGATGGCATAAAGTACCTTAAACATACCGTCAGTTTAAATGCTGTTTTATACTGAAAAACCAGAAGTTCTTGTGCACAACCAGTTGTTAAGCTTTTATTCTGAAAATCCTTCATCTCCGGTAGGGCTGGGCGATTTGGCCTAAAAATGAAATCGCGATTTTTTTTTTCTAACTAATGGACAATTTTCGATTTAAACCTCGATTTTTTTTCCCAGTTTTTTTCTAAACAAACCAGACCAAGGCTCTTTTAAGTGAACGACGGGAGCCGGCTCTCGCCCGCGAACGAGCCGTTTTTTTGCGGAGGGATCTAGATCGGCATGAAGGCACTTTATGCAATGTGCACATCATCCCGCTTATTACACATGGCCACATTCTCAACAAAGTAACGACATGACTCCCAATATTAATTGAAATGCTTTTATGGATTTAGAAAATTTTATTGACTTAAAAAATAGTTTTATGTATTGATTTAAATTGACAAGCATCCGCTAAGAAAAGTAGTCCGTTGTTACTGTTTGAACTAACTTAGCAACGGCAGGAACTGCTTCGATAGTGTTTTTGAGGAGCTTTTTGATTACAGATTTGAAAACATCGTTGCTTGCTTTAAAAGTAGCACACTTCATGATGTCAAACCTTGGAAAGTATCTAGATATCCCTGCCCTAATGCCAAAGTAACTGCCAACTGAATATGTGTCGCCGTTTGATGTCTATGTCTGGACCGCTGCGTAAAAAGGAGGGTTTCTGCCGCATTACTTCTCTTCTTACTTCTATAAGAATAAAACACGGAGGACAGAGATCTCTTTTCCTCCCCCTCTACAGACCGCCCAGCAGCTGATCTCAGAGCACGCTCCCCTCTCCTGCAGGGGGGCGTGGTCAGCTGCAGCTCACAGAATCAGCCCCCTGCAAAAACAGCGCTGGAAAAAGCAAATGGAGCGAAATGAGGCATGGCTAAAATGCAAGATATTTTTGGTATTTTGAAGAAAGAAAAAAAATATGTATATACTTTATATAGGTCGATACAGTAGCCCCTTTTTAAAAAAAATAGTTTGTATAGGTGTTGCTATCTGTTTTGTGTAGCGTGGTTCTACAAGCAAGTCAATGCATTCATTGGGTGGTATCAGAGATTTACACGGGTCTGTAAATGCAATGAAAACAATTGGCCACAGCAAATCATTTATATTAAACTTTATTTACTTTATTTACTCTTGAATACTTCAGTACAAAGGATGTATTGAATAATTTAAGTGATATATGTGTACACAGAGCTGCAGATCGGGTAGTCACAGGCAATGTGGCTGAGTTTTGTGCGCGTTCTGGAAAGTGAGAGAGTAAGCTACTACGGAGTCCCTTAAAGCAAAACAAATCTGCGGAGTCTAGAAATGTTTTTAAATCGCGATTTTTCGGTTCAGCCATTTCACAAACCGTAGGAAAGTAAAAATGCAAATTAATCGTTAAAACCGAAAAAATCGCCCAGCCCTAATCTCCGGTTAGCATTTAGCATGTGGCTAATATACCATTTACTATAGAGGTGAATTTAGTAGCGATATGACACGGAGTGTTGCACACCGAAACCTACTGATTTCAACACTACAACTATAGACGTCGAGATATTATTATTACTGAATATTAAATGAAGGTACAGTTTATTTGAATACGTTTGTTTACAGACGTGGGTAGCATGAGACAACATTCGGAACTACCGGAAATGATACCAGCCGTGAAGTATTTTTAGAGTATTGATTACAACGTTTAAAATGTATTAAATGAAAAGTCATGAAAGAGATAAGGAGAAGAAAAGGCGTGTTTAGTTATATATTTAATGTACAATGTCTGAATCCTCTGTAATGCGCAACAACGAACATTGGAGACGTGGAGGGCCGGCCCCCAGCAGAGGATATTTAACAGCTGGAAAGGTGGATCTCGCTCTCTTCCCTTCGCTCACGAGAGCCAGAACACAGCTGTTTTTCTGACTGAACCATCTTCTGCTTGTAACATTACCGCGCTTTTTATTAATTAAAGTATACATTTGAACCTTCTCAGAGACTCAATTAGTCTCCTTTTTAAAGCTTCTCTCCTGGACGCGAGAATAACGAACACAGTTATCAGACTTAATGTATCGATACCCTCGGCTGAAATATCGATACTTTCTCGGAAAACTAAATATCGATATATATCGCAGGATCGATTAAATTGCACAGCCCTAACCACAACACACACACACACACACACACACACACACACGCTGTGAAGAGACTTGGAGAGATTGTGAATGTGTGTATCGAGTCATTCTCAAAAAGTATATGTACACATGCTCTAACTGCAAGAAAGATTAAAAGCTGATGGAGATGTGTGTGTGTTCATTTGTGTGTGGTAAGCTGAGCCGGTCTCCTGTGATTATCGTGTCACCAGCAGCTCTAGAGAAGAAAGCCACTAGACCAAGTCTTTGTATGTGGCTTCCCCCATTGTGCTTTAATCGTAGGTTGTAAATCTCTTTCTGGGCATTTGTGTTGGTTAGCGGCCGCTGTCACTCCTTCCCGCCCAACGCTCCTTTTGTTATTGTATATGCACGAGAACGCCCCTTGCTTTCTCTGGCTCATTGGATGGCAGCTTGCCCTGTCAGTCATGTAGGGAAAGGCGTATTGTAAAGCACTTAATCAGTTAGAATGACAGAGGGCGAGTGAAATGAGGAATAAGGAGGGAGGGCGGCTCAGCTGAATCGTCTGGCCTGGCAGCAGCGCACTGAGATGATAGTTGGCAACTGTCCCGCCTGCCGATGTGTGGAGTGTGTCAGAGAGCAGGGGGCTGAATGGGAAGAGAGGAGCCGAGGGGGCGTGCGTTTGTGTGTGTGTAACTGTGTGTGTCCGCCTGCTCAGCTGTGTTGAAAGGCTGCCAGTGTCTGGTCGACTCAGTTGGGTGTTTTTTATCTGGTCTGTTGGAGCGGTGTCAACAGCCTGAGGGGATACAGCCTGGCCTGGCATGGCACAGTTTGGTCTGGTCCCCCTGCAGCTCTGTAGACGAGAGCGCGGCAGCAAGTTCATCAGTGTGTGCAGCGTGGCTCTCACACAGATTGTATTCCCCCTCTGGTGCCTCACATCTTAATCTATGCTGTCATGGTTCTTGCTGAGTGTGGGCAGTGTGGGTAAACGTACTCCAAGTATGAAACTATTAACAGGGGTAGACATTA